GATACAGTATTAAGATGCATTTTTTTTCATGATGTGGATTTAAGTGGCTTTGAGGGAAATAAATGAGGGGGTGAATTTTAGTGCCAGAGAGATGGGGGAATAAAGGCTAGGCATGCGGACAGGGATGATGTGGGAAAGTGCAGTGCAGTCTTGGCTTCATAAAACCTTCCCAATGTCTTGTGATCCTGCAGCACTCCTTGCACACCCCACTCCTCTCCAGCTGCCACCCCACGCCTAACCACCCATCCCTGGCGGGCTTGCCCAGGGTTGCCCCAACTCCATGTAGACTCTGCACCCTTCCCAATCAGGCATCAGGCCAGGAGACAGAACCAAGACAACACTGGTGGCACTGGTGGAGGTGGTCCTTTTGGCCAAATACTAGTGCCCATTCTCCCCTGTTTGCACTGTTGGGCCTCTGTCTAGCAAGTGACATGGTCACTATTTCTGCTGCCCAGCCACAGAGTTGTGGCAGGGCTGGTGGGATTGTACTGAGATGGCGTTGATTGTCCTTTCTCAAGCTGCCCCAGAGAATCATGGCTGGCTCCTTCACACCCAGGCCGTGACCTGTGCAGTCTCATGGGGATCCGTCCTCTCCTTCATCCTGTTCCACGTCCATCTATAGCCACTAGCCTGGACTAAAATGCTAGCAGTAAACGGAGGACACCCGGCTGTGTACCATGCTCCCAACAGGCTCACGCCGCACTGTCCCCCAGCTCCCCAAGAGCTTGGCTGAGACTAGCAACTGGATGGAGAGCAAGTACTTGGAGAAGCAGCATCCTGGGAAGACCTGAGATGATGAGACAAGGAGAGGGACACACTGCAAAGAACTCCTGGCCTCCAGAACATCCTCCTCCATTGAGGTCATCTGGCCTGACGTCGTTAAGATGCTCCTCAGCCACAAAACACCAGCTTTCTGACTCTGGCTGGCAAGAAGGCAGCAGTTCAGACATAGTCACAGCGCTCCACAGAGCCAGGGCCTCTGGGCTCAGTTATTGTAATGCTCTGTGCCTAGGAACAAAGCAGCCAACCTTAAACCAGCTGCAATTAGTTTGAAACAGCGGCTCAGCCGAAGAGAGTGCCCCTCCCAGAGCTCTCCACTCTTCACTGGCTCCCCAGTGAGCACGGGGACAAATTCAAGACGTCGGTCCTCATCACAAAGCCTTGCATGGGACTGATCCATGTTACTGAAGGGCTTTCTCAATCTGTGTCCTCATGGTACCCAGGACGCTTGCATTCCACTGAGACAGTGGACCCATCAGCTCCAAGAGTGAGTTTCCTGGATGCTTGGGACAGAGGTTTTTTTGGAGACTGACGTGTCCCCAGAGGGGATCAGATGAGCTTGAACCTCAGCGCCTTCAGAGAAAAATACAACACCCTCATCTGCAACACTGCCTGCTTACTATAACACACAGAAAACCCCAAGAACAACAGAATCCCCAATCCCTCCCGTCTGGAGGAAAAAGAGAGATGCACACCTCATGTCAGCCAGCACTCAGATACCACGGTGATGGGCACTCACATACCAAACTAGTAAACGAGACATCTGGTTTCTTCATCATTTAAAGGCAAGGGTTGGGATTTTCAAAAGCACCCATGTGACTTAGATGTGCAAATCCGACTGGCTTTCAGTGAGATTTGGGCGCCTAAGTCATTTAGATACTTCTGGAAACCCCAGGCAACATGACTGCTCCATGGAGTTCTTAGCTGTAAACAATGGATAAGGAATGTCGTGTTTTCAGTCTGCATCGCACAATGCCGGACCACCTTGCATTTGATTTTAAAATAGTCAGAGGTGGGGCATTGTACAAGTTATGTCAAAAGTCACACTAGTAACCGTGTCCGGGGTGTGATGATGTGTAGGGTAGTGCTGGAAGTAATGCATTGCAGACAGAACAAATATCATGTAAGTCACTGCATCCTAACATCATGATTAGGACTCATACGTGCATGGTTTGCTTTGTGTTGGGATGCTCTCGCAAAGAAATGGTTAGATCTTGGAAGGTAACACGAGATTGCCTTTCAGAATAAAGAGAATATAATAATAATTAATAATCTGCACAATTGCCTCTGGTTTTCCTTGGAGGATCTCAAATTGCTGTGTTTGGTCTCAGCATCATTTACCATTTACATCTTGGTTAGGGCCCAGTCATTGAGACCAGATGTGAATACTGGGCTGTTGGACGCAGGGATGGCTGGATAATAAAATACATGAGGTATCTGGTCTCCTAAATGCTTAAAGACAGGTTTCAGAGTAACAGCCACGTTAGTCTGTATTCGCAAAAAGAAGGCACCTTAGAGACTAACCAATTTATTTGAGCATAAGCTTTCGTGAGCTACAGCTCACTTCATCGGATACATACTGTGGAAAGAACACAAGATCTTTTTATACACACAAAGCATGAAAAAATGGGTGTTTACCACTACAAAAGGTTTTCTCTCCCCCCACCCCACTCTCCTGCTGGTAATAGCTTATCTAAAGTGATCACTCTCCTTACAATGTGTATGATAAGCAAGTTGGGCCATTTCCAGCACAAATCCAGGTTTTCTCCCCACCCCTCCCACAAACCCACTCTTCTGTTGGTAATAGCTTATCTAAAGTGATCACTCTCCTTACAATGTGTATGATAATCAAGGTGGGCCATTTCCAGCACAAATCCAGGGTTTAACAAGAACGTCTGGTGGGGGGGGGAAGGGGGTAGGAAAAAACAAGGGGAAATAGGTTACCTTGCATAATGACTTAGTCACTCCCAGTCTCTATTCAAGCCTAAGTTAATTGTATCCAATTTGCAAATGAATTCCAATTCAACAGATGTCAAGAATTATAACATTCATAAACCAGTCGGAGAACACTTCAATCCCTCTGGTCACGCGATTACAGACATGAAAGTTGCGATATTACTACAGAAAAACTTCAAATCCAGACTCCAGCGAGAGACTGTTGAATTGGAATAGATAAGCTATTAGATAAGCTATTACCAGCAGGAGAGTGGGGTGGGGGGAGAGAAAACCTTTTGTAGTGGTAAACACCCATTTTTTCATGGTTTGTGTGTATAAAAAGATCTTCTGTACTTTCCACAGTATGCATCTGATGAAGTGAGCTGTAGCTCACGAAAGCTTATGCTCAAATAAATTGGTTAGTCTCTAAGGTGCCACAAGTACTCCTTTTCTTTTTGTAAATGCTTAAAGGCAACTTGGCTCCTACCTGAAGTTTGTGCCTTCACATGTGAAATAAGCCAGGTCAAAGGAAATAAGAACCAACCTGAATCTTGGTTCAAAATTCAAACCAAACTCTTTTGCAATGCTTGAAAGTTTTTCCTGCCTCTTTGCTTCTATATCAGCACAGAACCTATTCTCTCTGCATGTCTCCAACCTCACCAGAAGCAGAAAGTGTTAGAAATCTCATGAGAGGCTACTTTTATGAGATTCCCAACCTTTTGCAGACCCAGGAGATCCAAAGAGTTCGGATCCAATCTAAAGAAACGCGTGAGCTCTTGGGATGCTTATCCCCTCCAGATTTCTGAACTCTCAGGTTCTCTGACCACTAGCAATAGTCATGTCATGGGGCTGCAGGGCATGCAGTCACTAGAAAAATAGGTCAGTGACCTTGTGACTGATGCAAAGGAAAGCCAAGAGAGCAGTGTGCAGTATTGTCTGGGCTTGGGGGGCATTCCAAAGCACTCTTTTAAACATCATGAGTTTGAGAGAGAAGCACAGGCAAGGAGGATCTTTGGCTCCTAGCTGAGGAAGATGCAAAGGGTGGCTGAATGGTTAAGGAGACAGATAATGGGACATGGGATCTGGTATCATTAATTTGTATCGCAGTAGCACCTAGGACCCAGTCATGGACCTCAATCACCCCTGTAATTTCAGCTGGCTAGGGTGTTCTTCTGCTGTTCCATTTAGCAATGTGGTGTTAGACCACTGCTGCCTTCCCTTTGTCATCAGTGGTGGAGTCACATTTGCTAAGTGCCCTTTCTTTTCACCTTCCCCCTACAGACCCTTTTTGCCTTCACCCCCAGCCTGGGCTACTGGACTGAGTGCTCTGTAGACTGTACTGTACTGTGACTAACCAGCAGGAGTCACTGCTTGAGGGATAAACATCTAGATTTCTCCCCAGTCCTCTTCCCGGGGAGCTGTGCATGCCACCTTCATCATAGTAACAAATCCATGGCTGTCACGCACAACGTGATCAGCAGAGCAGCTGGACCGCTGGAGAGCTCACGTCTCTCAGCCTGCCACGGCCGAAAGGAGAGACCTGGAACTGGACATTTAAAATGTATAACAGAGACTCAAAGGAGAGACATCACCAAAAGTAACAGCGGGAGGAGGAAGCTGGCAATGCTGTGGGCTTCATTTCTGTAACTTGGACGTTTTCCATTATCCGAGCTCCACAATTCAGTATTTTCAGTGTCAACCGGCAGGAAGAGAACAGGTGCGGAGGTAAATTTGGGTCTCAAACAGAGCTGGGTCTGATCCAAAACCTCAGTTCCAGACACACCTGAACCCTGGCAGAGTTCGGATTGGAACCTGGTGCGGGCTCCTCTCTAGACTGAATAAAGGATGTGTCTTAACAAGGGACAGCTGGCAGGCCTGGCTGGGAATAGCAGTGGCGTGTAATCCCAGATGAGTGGTCTGGATGTCATGTCAGCGCAGACAGTGCCCCGAGATACACAATACAAATTTAAGAGGAGCCAGCACCATCACCACACACTGTGCATGGGGGAGTGATGGGGGGCAGTTCATTGCTAAGGCAGGTGGGGTGTCCTTGAGAGACAGATGTTGGGGAGAACATAGAATCACCGGCAGAATTTCATTTTTGAGCCTATTAATGTAAAGTTTGGTCGACTTTACAAATAAAAATAGATTCACTCCACCATCTGCCTGCCAGCTGCTCTGCTGTCACTCCAACTAGGGAACAAGTGTGTCATATCCCTCACACCTTTGACAAGATTCATCCCTTCTATTTTTTATTTTTTAATTTTTTTGGTAGATTGCTTGGCCGGTGCCATCCACGAGCAGCAATTATTAGCTCCTCCAGCCAGGAATGGTGCCAGTTTGTTATGAATATCTTCACAGGTTTCCTCAGAGTTTGAACAGAGAATCATGGGGTGGGTAGGTTGCTGTTTTTTGTGTTTGTGTGTGTGTGTGTGTGTGGTTTTGTTTTTTTGCTGCTGTTGTTGCTTTGCTCTTGCAGCCTTGGATGTTGTCACCCAGTGACAAGCTGATGAAAGTTGATCAGAAAGGAGGAGGCAGAGACAGATCTGTGCAGAAAAAGAAAGAAATAACAAGAAGGCGGGCTGGCATTTTCCTGGCATATCTCCCCTTGATTATTCAGTTGCATCTTCTTCTGTACTTAAGTGTCAACCGTCCCCCATCCCTGATTTCTGCCTACCTTCCCTTGCAGAATGATTAATCCACTCCATAGTTTCTGCAAGATTCTGGGAACTCCTGTTAGAGTCTCTGGTAAACTTTCTGTTGCATCTGACGCAGTTGTTGCTAAAGGGCGGGTCCTGGGCCCTTGAGTCGAGATCTTCAAAGGGTACTCTGAGAGTTAGATGTCTGGGCTTTCCTATCTCTATGGTCTGCAAAGTGGGAGACATTTTTCCAGTCTTATGGGTTCTTCAAAGGCCCCTGATTATCTGTGTTTAACCTCTGGCAGGAACTCCCTTCGGATGATCAGCATGATTGAGTAGTTAGAGCACTGGACTGCCAGGTAAGAGAGCTGTGTTCTGCTCCTGGTTCTGCCAGCGGTGTGCCTCCTCTCCTTTGGTTGTCTTGTCCATTTAGAGTATGAGCTGCATGGGCAACTGTCTCTCACAATGCACGTGGACAATGTCCAGCACCATAGGGCCATAGTCTCAGTTGTTACTGAAATACAAATGATAAATAATAGGAACACTCTGCTGCAGCAGCTGCGCAGACCTGCCTGGATGTATAGGTGCTCAGCTGGCAGAAAGAGGAGTGTGGTATAAATGTCTAGAAGTGATGCATTAGGAACTGCCACGGCAGGTCAGTCCAGTAACCCAGTTCTGACAATGGTCAGTACCAGACACTTGAGACGACGTTGCAGAAATATCACGAATGGAATTCTCTGCCCATTGGTGACATATCTTCCTATCCCTTGTTAGTAAGTAGCTGGTTTATACTGTGAATCATAAGGTAGGATTTCTATCTATCTATCTGCCCACCACTGCCACAGTATCTGAGCCGCTCACAAGCTGTAACATATTTAACCTCATGAAACCTCATTTGACAGCTGAGAATTGAGGTACAGACAGAATACATGATTTGGTCACTCAGGGAGCATGTGGCAGAGCAGAGAATTCAACTCCCGTGTCCCGGGTCACAGGCTGCCTTTGGACCATCTGCCTCTCTGTTTCCCGCTGCACTGGGGGGCATGTGCCAGCCAGGTACGGCTGTACAGTGCGGCTAGCCTTCAACACAGCCAACTGACACATTTTCATCAAAAAAATAATTGTGACAGAAAATGGCTTTTCATCGAAAGATAAAAAATGTCTCTGAAAAATTTTCATTTTTGACCCCATTTGCAATGCAAAACTAAAAAACTAAAAAACTGAGGTTCAATTAAAACAAAAATGGCTTTCAGCCCCGCTGTGCTGGAGTTGAAAACGCCAACAATTTTCACTGGAAAGTCCAACATTTTTCTAAATTTCCCACAGAAAACAACTGGCAGTTTCAACTGGCTCTGAGCCTCAATAAATGTAGTGCGATAGCAGCTTCAATCTCTGCGTCAATTTACAGAGCCCCTGATAACCTGGAACAATGGAGTAATGGATAACCATGGAGTCAAGAGGAAGCAGAAATTGGATGACTATATGGAATTTACAACAGTACATTAGAAGAGCGTTAAGCTCTCTGCTTTGGAGTGGGCAAATGTCCTTTGGGAGTTCAAGAGGGAATTTTTCACAGATCATGCTCCTTTCCCCCAGAATGGTAATGGGCTTTGGTTTCTGCATAGCAGCAGTTTGCCCTCCTCTGACTAAGTATCTAGGTTACAGAATTAGCATCAGGTTGTTCGAGAAACAAAGGCCCGATACAGGCCCCACATGGCTATGTTAGAGAACCGGATTCCAGCTCAGTTCTTGGGCATGGTGGAGGGGACTGTTTCATTAATTCTACAAACTATCTTAGATACTTCTGCAGCCCCCATTGGTGCAGTCTCCGAGCGCCTTGTGAATTTACCCCTCTCAATGCTCCTGTGGGATCTGGCAGTGCTGTCATGCCCGCTTTGTAGGTGGGGAACTGAGGGCCGGAGAAGCTAAGTGACTTGCCCAAGTTCACATAGGAAGTCTGTGGCAAAGCAGGAGTTTGAACCCAGCCTGAGCCTGAATGTCTACACTGCAATTTTAGACCCCCACCAACCCGGGTCAGCTGACCGGGCCAGCTGCAGGGCTTTGATTTCAGCGTAGACCTATGCTGTAACTCAAGTGTGGCTTGGCAGCGTGGCTGCTCACACCCAGGCTAGGCTAACTTGGGTGCCAATCACCTGATATAACTCTGCCGTGAAGACGGACTCATTTCTGACATGTAAGCCAAGAGCCCCTTACACTGGTTGCGACCTTTGCCTAGTTCCCAGGCAAGGTTAATGTCTCCTCTTCCCCTTTCCCCTCGAGGCAGGAGTGGGTGTGAAGGAAATGGTTTGGTGTGGAGTTTGTGAGCAGCAGCCGTTGGGGAGTGTGGAGGGAGAGGGCAACTGCTGAAAATGTTACAACGTTTGTGTGGTTCGTGCTGGACGAATGCAGCGCGAGATCAACAGGGAGAGAGATCGTCTGCTTCCCCCCCCCCACCTGGCATCTCTTCCAACTGCACATTTCCTATAATTGTCATGCAGCCTCCTCCTCGATGAAGGCAGGGGCGCCCGTCTCCGGAATTATTTTTACTATCTCTGTTTGGCACTGATATCGCTCCCCTCACAAAAGCCATTTCTATAAATAACTCCAGCCTGTGCTCTTCATTTCTCTCCCCAGCCGCACCCTTTCCTTTAGTATCGCTCTATCTCCTTTCTGTCTTTCTTTCCCAATTCTCTCTGGTCTGGCTCTTTGGCTGAGAACACAAGTGGGCCTAAGAGCATAGGACTTGCCAGACCAGTTTATATCAGGAGACCAGCTACCTGAGTACCCTATCCCCCAACAGCAGCTGGTCCTAGCTGCTTCAGAAGAAGGTGCTTGAAACTTTGTAATGGATAATTTTGGAATAACCTGCCCATAGTTTCTCCCTAAGCTCCATCAGTTAATGGTTGGTTCATGTCCCTTATACATTTCTATCCTGTCTAGCGGAACTGTGGATTTTCTCTTTGTATATTCAAATGCCTCATTTTTGTTTGATTCCTGCTGGGTTCTTGGCTTTAATGACGTTGTGGCAGTGAGTTCCACAGGCCGGTTATGTCATTGGATTAAACAAATGTATTTCCTGGTATCCATTTAAATGTATCTTCTGTCAGTTTCATTGGCTGCCCTCTTGTTTCCAGACCCCTCCCCCTCACACTGTTACCTCTCCTTACAGACTGCAGGTTCATTTACCTCGCCTCAGAAGGATTATAGGGACTTAACACAAACACTGTGGGACCGAATGGTCTTAAAGAAAACACATTTGATGAGGAAAAAATAGGAGAAGAAGCAAATGAACGCAAAGGCAAACAGTATTAAAATCATCCATACCTGGGTCTAAGGCTCTTTCGGAGGGATAGAGGGCTGCAAAGAGCCAATTTCAGACCCCAGCATAAATCAGATCCACTGAGGATCAGCCCTAACTTATGCCAGGGCCATCGGTGGAGCATCCGAAGTAGGAGAATGGTCCTCCCTGCCCTGCTGCTCGCAGGTGCCCTCCATCCTCATGCATCAGGGGCTGCAGAAGGCAGTTACATGATCCCTACCAGCTTCTTGCCAGCAGAGAGCTCCCCTCCATCGACGTAAACTTTGCACCACCGGAGAATCTGTCCCTCTAATCTCCTTCCGACTGCCCCAAACCCCTGCTGTTGAGCAAAGGCAATAGCCCCATAGCTGGTGTAAATCAGCGTGCCTCCATTGAAGGCAGTGGGACTGCAGCAGCTTCTACCAGCTCAGCACCAGGGGCCAGGAAATCGGGAAGTATTCATCTGACATTTGCCAGCGTTCTGCTTTTCTCTCGGATGGCCACAGTCTTTTTCTGGCCCTTAGCATTACAGCAGGTCAGAGGTTCCCCTGTGCCAGCTTGGCCATTGGGTCGGTGCTGATTCAATAGCTATGGAATATTTCCAGTCTGAATTGGTCTTGTCTGGAGCAGACTGGGGTTCAGCACTTGCCCCTTTCCATGTTAATTTCAGAGGCTGATCTGAACTGGCCTAAGTGCGGATAATTGCCGCTTTGCCAGCACCTTGATATCACAACATCCTTTTGTACAAGAATGGCACTCTCCTCCCTGGGCATCCTTAACTGCCTTGCTCCTTGGAGAGTAAAGCAAACTTGGCCCATTTTGTCAATCAATCTTAAAGACTCGGGGACAAATCCCCAGCTGGTGTAAACTGCCGTAGCTCCACTGATGTCAATAAAGAGAATTTACACAAGCTGATTGTCTTGGGGGGGAGGGATAGCTCAGTGGTTTGAGCATTAGCCTGCTAAACCCAGGGTTGTGAGTTCAATCCTTGAGGGGGCCATTTGGGATCTGGGGCAAAAATTGGGGATTGGTCCTGCTTTGAGCAGGGGGTTGGACTAGGTGACCTTCTGAGGTCCCTTCCAACCCTGATATTCTATGATTCTTGCCCACAGCAACCATGTAGCCTTCATAATTCCTGCTGATCTATAATGCCAAATGATATGTGATAATGATTTATGGGCAGATGGCCTGTCCTCTGTTGCACTGAGCAGTGGCTAGGGGAGGGGAAGACAGGAATATCACCACAGGAAATTGCTTGGGGAGGGTTGAGATGGATTCAACCTGCAAAATTAGGACTGGGGGTCCCAATCGGGATTTTTGAACAGGCCCAAGTTTAGAGAGTGTGTGTGTGTGTTCATGCAACTGCGCAAGTCTGTGTGTCTTTGTGGTATACGTGTGTGTGTGTTTGGAACAATCAGATCCTCATCTGGGTTCAGATTTCCAGTTTGCCCTGGGCGATGAGAACTAGGGTTTGGTTCAGGAAGACGTCTCGGGTGGGGAGCGACAGAGGAGGATTTACTGAACCGAGATGCATCCAGTGGAGAGACAATGACCAGCTACTGCTGCTGCTAACAGGAGTTCCTCCACACTCCCAGTTAGGAGGTGTAATGAAATGCTAGTCACATGCCATAATGAACTGCTGGAAGACTCTGCACAGGGCTCCCAGCAAATTAGATTTGGATTATTGGAGCAATGAGAATTGAATGATCCGCAATATTATCGAGGGGGATTGGGAGTCGTTTCCTTGCTTTATGGCACCAACTGCATGCATTTAATTACCTGCCATTAAAAAAACCCAAACATCCTGACACAAACCCACAGCTGAACATCTCCACGCACCAGGCAGCCATGGTGAGGGAGGTCTGAGAGGGAGAGAAGCTGGCACTGAGAATGACACTTGGATGCTTTGGAAAGATGTGTGGTGAAGGGATCACAGAGGTAGATGCCAGCGATCGGGGCAGGAGGAGAGGAGACATTGGAGCAGAGGAAGAACGCAAACCCAGGGCCCTCCGGAGGGAGACCAAGGGAAATCTATGCTGGCAGAAGGATGTAATGCTGCAC